CCGCAGGACGTGGTGAGCCCAGCGTCCTCCTATGCCGCCATCTTCCCAGAAGCCTCTCCAACCAGTACACTTGTTCTTATTAAACTTTCCCCCAAAATACAAATGGATGGAAAACTTCCGAACTCATTCTATGAGGCCAGATTTACCTTGATTCCAAAACCAGACAGTGCTCACTTCAGCAGCACATGTACAAAACCAGATAAAGACCCCACTAAAAAGATAATTACAGACCAATATCCCTAATGATCATGGTTGCAAAAATTCTCTACAAGATACTAGCAAATTGAAGCCAACAGTACATTAGAAGAACCACTCACCACGATCAAGTGGGATTTAACCAGGGCTGCAAAGGTGGTTCAATATTTGCAAATCAATCAATGTGATATATTACATTACTAAAAGAAAGACAAGAATCATAAGATCCCCACAATAGATCCAGAAAAAAGCATCTGATCAAGTACAACATCCTTCATGATAAAACCCCTCAACAAAGTAGAGATAGAGGGAACATAGCTCAACATTATAAAGGCATATATGAAAGACCCAAAGCTAATATAATCCTCAGTGGTGAAAAACTGAGAGCTTTTCCTGTAAGGTCAGGAACAAGAAAGAGATCCACACTCACCATTGTTTTTTAACATAATACTAGAAGTCCTAGCCTCAGCAATGACAATAGAAAGAAATAAAATACATCTTAATTGGCAAGGAAGAAGTCAAACTTTTATTATTTGCACATGACATGATTCTCTATAAGGAAAACTCAAAAGACTCCACCAAACAACTGCTAGAGCTGATACATGAATTCTGCAAAGTCACAGGATATAAAATCCATGTACAGAAATCGATTGCATCTCTATATCCCAATAATGAAGCAGCAGAAAGAGAAACCAAGGATTTATCCCTTTACAATGGCACCAAGACCTATATGATACCAAGAAATAAACCTAATCAAAAAGGTAAAGGATCTAAAAATATAGAAAACTTATGAAAGAAATTGAAGATGATAGGAAGAAATATATAAGCATTCTATGCTCATGGACTGGAAGAACAAATATTGATGAAATGTCTATATACCCAAAGCAATCTATACATAAATGCAATCCTTATCAAAATACCACGAGCAATTTCCACAGAGGTACAACAAATGAACCAAAAATTTGAATGGAATGGCAAAAGTCCCTGAATAGCTGAAGCAGTAATGAAAAAGAAAAAAGAGTTGGAGGCATCATGATTCCAGTCTTCAAGTGGTATTACAAAGCTGTAGTGAGCACAGAAGTATCATATTGGCACAAAAACAGATACACATATCAATGGAATGGAATAGAAAATCCAGAAATGGACTCACAACTTTATTGTCAACTAATCTTCAACAAAGCAGGAAAGAATACCCACTGGGGGAAAAAAAGACAGTCTCTTCAACAATTGGTATTCAGAAAACTGGAAATTAACAAACAGAAGAATGAAATTGGACCTCTTTCATACACCATACACAAAAATAAGCTTGAAATGGACAAAAGACCTAAATCTGAGAACAAAAAAAAAAAAAAAAGTAAAAATCCTAGAGAAGAACACAATCAGCAATATCTTTGACACAGCTGCAGCAACTATTTAGTAGATATGTCTCTAAGAGTCAAGGGAAACAAAATCAAAATTCAACTATTGGGACTTCATCAAGATAAAGTTTCTGCACAGTGGAGGAAACAATCAACAAAAGTAAAAGGCAACCTTTGGAATAGGAGAAGATATGTGTAAATGACATAGGATAAAGGGTTAGTATCCAAAGTTTATAAAGAATTTTCCAAACTCAACACCCAAAAAACAAATAATCCAGTTAAGAAATAGGCAGAAGACATGAATAGACATTTTCCCAAAGAAGACATCTAGATAGCTAACAAACACATGAAAAGATGCTCAACATCACTCACCATCAGGATAATAAAAATCAAAACCACAATGAAATATCACATCATACCTGTCAGAATGACTAAAATGCACAACACAGGAAACACAGATGTTGGTGAGAATACAGAAAAAGGAGAACTCTCTTATATCCTTGGTGGGAATACAAACTGGGGAAGCCACTCTGGAAAACAGTATGAAGGCTCCTCAGAAAGTTAAAAATAGCACTACTCTAAGTTCCAGCAATTGTACTACTAGCATACAAAAATACAGAATCGAAGGTGTACACACATCCCAATGTTTATAGCAGCATTGTATATATATATACACACACACACACACACATACATACATATATATGTGTGTGTATATATACCCTCTCCCCACACACACAATGGATTATTACTCAGCCATCAAAAAGAAGGAAATCTTGCCATTTGCAATGATGTGAATGGAGCTAGAGTGCATTATGCTAAGCAAAATAAGTCAGTGAGAGGAAGAAACACAAATACCATATGATTTCACTCATATGTGGAATATAGGATGCAAAACAGATGAACATATGAGAAGGGAAAAAAAAGGAATCAAATAATAAGAGACTCTTAACTATAGAGAACAAACAGGATTGATGGAGGGAGGTGGGTAGGGTATGGGTTCAATGGGTGATGTTACTAGGGAGGGCACTTGTTGTGATGAGCACTAGTTGTTATGTCTAAGTGATGAATCACTAAATCCTGAAACTAATATTATACTATATGTTAACCAACTAGAATTTAAATAAAATTAGTTTTAAAAAAAATTGAAGCTAAAAAAATACACTAAAATACAAAATTATCAAGTACTATTTATTCCAGGGATACAAGGGTGGTTCAACATCCACAAATCGGTGTGATGTGCCACATTAACAAAATGAAGCATCAAAACCTTATTGTCATTGCAATAAATGCAGGAAAAGCATTTGACAAAAGTGAACATCCATTCATGATATAAAGTCTCAACAAAACGGGTATGGATGAAACATACCTCAGCTTACAAAATGACATTATGACAAGTTCACAGGATCATACCCAATGATAAACAACTGAAAGCTCTTCATCTAAGATCACAACCAGGATTAGGATGCCCATTCTCTCTCATTTTATTGGAAATCGTAGCAACAGCAATTAGGCTAGGAAAAGAAATAAAAGGGATCCAAGATAGAAAGGAAGAACAAAACTCTCTATTTGCAGATGATCATGATATTATATACAGGAAGACCTAAAGAGTCTACCAAAAACACTGTTAGAACTAATAAAAATTCAATTAAGTTGTTAAATTGCAGGATATGAAATAAGAATGCAAATATAAGTTGCATTTCTTTTCCTTTAAATTTGTTAAGTTTATTTCCATTTTTTTACAGAGAGAGAGCGCATGCACATGTGTGAGTGGGGGAGGGGCAGAGAGAGAGGGAGAGAGAATCCCAAGCAGGCTCTGCACTTTCAGCACACAGCCCAATGCAGGGCTGGAACCCACAAACCGTGAGATAATGACCTAGGCCAAAATCAAGAGTTGGATGCTTAACCGACTGAGCTGCCCAGGAGCCCCATAAGTTGCCTTTCTATATACTAACAACAAACTATCAGAGAAATTAAGAAACATCTCATTTATGATAGCATCAAAAAGAAAAAAAATATGTAGGAATAAATTTATCCAAGGAGGTAAAAGACTTGTACATTGAAAACTAGAAGACACTACTAGAAGAAATGTTAGAAATCACAAATAAATGAAAAAATATTCCATGCTCATGGATAAGAAGAAACAACATTGTTAAATTGTCCATACTACACAAAGCAATCTACAGATTCAGTGCAATCCCTATCAATGTTACAATGTCATTTGTCACAGAAATAGAACAAACAGTCCTAAAATTTGTTTGTAAGCATACAAGACCCCAAATAGCTAAAGCAATTTTGAGAAAATAGAACAAAACCTGAGGCATCAGACTTCTTGGTTTCAAATAATATTACCAAGTTATACTAACCAAAACACTATGATACTGGTATTAAAGGGAAAAAAGACAGGTTAACCAATGGAACAAAATAGAGATTACAGATGTTAACCAACATCTGTATGGTCAATTAATTTATGGCAAAGGAGATGAGAATATATTATGGGGATAGGATAGACTCTTCAATAAATGGTGTTGGGAAAACTGGAGAGCCACATGCAAAAGAATGAAACTGGACCACTCTCTTACACCATACACAAAAGTTAACTCAGAACAGTTTAAAGATATGAATGTAAGACCTGGAAGCATAAAACTCTTAGAAGAAAGCAGAGGTATAAGACACTGGTCTTAGCAATGGTTTTGTTATGGGAGTGGGGATATGACACCAAAAACAAACGCAACAAAAACAAAAGTAGGCAAGTGGGAGAATATCAAACTAACAAGCTTCTGTACAGCAAACTATCAACAAAATGGAAAGGCAACCTATTAAAAGGGGAAATATTTGTAAATCGTTTATCAAATAAAGGGTTAATATCCAAAATATATCAAGAACTCATACAAGAAAATAGCAAAAATAACAAAAATCCATTTAAAACATTGGCAAAGAATTTGAATAGCTGTGAAAGTATATACACACATAAATAGGTATATATGAATATATACACACATATATATATTAGCCTGATATGAGTGCTATAACAAAATAAGACCCATATACTTTGGGATTATTACACACTATGGTAATTAGTATAAGTTAATTTTCCTTCTCATGCACTTGGCTATTAAATGCAGCTCAACTATATGTCTGAAGTAGCTGCTTAAATGGTACATATTCCTGAGTCCTTTCCCAGCCACTTCAAATATTTAGTGTTTGATAGGGTGTCTTCAATCTATCTACTTCAATATTTTCTCCATTTTCTTGTACAAATAAAAACTAACTTACAGCTATGTTGTAAAAGATCTTAATTCATATAATATTCAATTCAGTTCACACTATAATATCTAATGCATCAAGTGTTTATCTCTGTATATACTATTAGTAAAAAGACAGAATTCCAATATTATAAAAGTATCATTTCATTTATTTGATTAGCTATTAGAATACAGAACTCACCAGATTTGGGGTATGTAATAATGAAGACATCACTTTCTCTGATTACAAAATCATCTAAATTTTCTATAAAGCCAATATCAAGTTCTTCATGACCAAAATGATATCCTTTAAATTTGAATAAAAATGAGTCTGCATCTTCCATATTTCTGTTACCTACAAAAAACATACAAAATTATTTGGAAGAAATGCAATAAAATTTTATGCAGTCTTCCCTTCCATATTTTCAGTTGGTGGCTATATATATATATGCTGAGAGAAGAAGCTTATTTCTTGTTTTCTTCACAAACACTGACAACTGACTGGCTCTGGAAGCTCCTATCCTAGATTTCAGACCTGTAGAGTTTGGTCTGATGCCCAGGAGCCATGTGTTTATGAGCTAGGTCTTAGTTTTATGTGTGTGTGCTCCATCTATGTAGGTACAGGGAAAATAGTGAAAAAATAATTATGTAATTGCAAAAAAAAATGCTCTTAATCAGAAATCATAGATAGATAATAGATGATAGATAGATTAGATAGATAGATAGATAGATAGATAGATAGATAGATAGATAGAATCACATATAGATAGATATCTCTAAAGCAGAAATCATATATACATTAGATAGATAGATAGATAGATAGATAGATAGATAGATAGATGATAGATATAATCATAGAAAGATATCAGAAGAGAAAGAGAGATTGAATATACAAAGTGGACTTGAATGGGCTTCAGAAACATTTGTCTCCCACTACTCCTTCAGCAGCTGAGTTTTTATCCCCCTGGAACTGTAGTACAATATTTTAGCTTCTAGCAGGCTTGTACAAGTTTTATTTATATACTTTCTGGGTGGGAGTTATGTATTCATAAGCTTTTCGGTAACTTTTAGTTTGAACTTTGCTTTATTTCCTAACTTGTGACTTGCTTAGAGTCACCGTTTACCTGCCATTATTCCCCTCAGTTCCCCACCGTTTACCTGCCATTATTCCCCTCAGTTTTGTCACTGTTGAGTGAGTGGTGAGGTCTTCATACCACATAGGGATGTGGTATCACAGAGGGAATGACAGGTCCTGGGGTTGGCTGTTCAGGTACTGTTTTGTGTCCTCTTTTTCAGGGGTTCCACACTCTATCCAGTTTGTCTTCTGAACAGAATGGTCCTAAACGATAAACATCTAAGGTTTATTCAAACTGCCTCTGGATAAACACCTAAGATTTATTCAAACTCCCTCTATGTATACTTGGGTTATTGACCTTAGATGCTGCTTCTCTTCTGTTGTTAGTGTTTCCTGAATAACAAACATTTCCTCATTTATACTAAGATAAATCACCAAACTTTGGCATCTGTTGATGTTACTGCATGCACACTATCTGATTTGGAACTGGACTCAATTCCTTCCTAATACATATCCTCTCACCCTTATTTGGGAAAAGTAGATTGTGTTTCTTATTTAGAACTACTCTCAGTAACTTTGGAATTCATGGTTTCATCTGTCCTATTGTCACGTTTCATTAAATAAAAATTTGATCCAAAGAAACGATTTAATCCCTTTTATTGGAGTAATCATTACTGTTAAAAAAATGTTTAAACCATAGAGATTCAACAATAGAGAAGAAACTGAGATGGATGGAGGGAGAAGGGTGGGAGATGGGATATATGAATGATGGGTATTAAGGAGGGCACTTGTTTTGATAAGCACTGGGTGTTGTATGTAAGGGGATGAATCGCTGAATTCTACTCCTGAAACCAATATTGCACTTTACGTTAACTAGCTAAAATTTAAATTAAAAACAAAGAAGTCTTTAATGTGACAGAAATTGGACCCTGTAATTATGAAGACAAACTTTTTCTCACAGTATTTCCTAAATTAAAACATAACACATTCCTGAAGCCAAAGTTGTTAATTGCTAGAAAGGAATAATTGTGATTCACTAAAATAAAAAACTTGAGAAAAGCAAACTGATCCTTACGATTGTTTTTTTTTTTATTTTTTTTATGTTTTTATTTTACTTTTGAGAGAGAGACAGAGTGCGAGCAGAGGAGGGGCAGAGAGAGAGGCAGACACAGAATCCGAAGCAGGCTCCAGGCTCTGAGCTGTCAGCACAGAGCCCAACGCGGGCTCGAACTCACGGACTGTGAGATCATGACCTGAGCTGAAGTCGGACACTTAGGCAACTCAGCCACCCAGGGGTCCCTGATTCTTATGATTCTCGAAAATTTTAGTTATTTGCCAAACTTGTAAGGCTGAAAAGTGGGAAAATTACCCAGTTTTGAGTTTAAGCACAACCTCTGACCTAATATTTCCTGACTACTAAGCTCTATTGGCCTTGTCTTAACTATAACACAAAAATTTAAAAAATTTGAGTAGTGATATGAAAGTGTGTATGCTGTTGGGGATAGACTCCATAATTAGTTCTAGTAAATCACTAAAAAAGGCAGGCACTAAAAAAAGGCAGAACAACCACTTCTAGGACAAGATTGGAATCTAGAGAATGTATATTACCTAAAATATCCAGTTTCTGACAAAAGTACCATATGTCAAAAAACAAGAAAGTGTAACACATATTCAGGGGAATAAAGGGCAATTAGTAAAAACTATCTCTGAATGGACCCAGATGCTGGACTTGGCAAAAAAATAAAATAACAGCTATAAAACAATGTTCATTTATTGAGTCCTTAGATCTCAACAAGTTTGATCCGACAGAAGAAAGAATCATGGAACATGAAGACAGATCAGTAGCGAAGAGAATTACAAAGAATAAAAAGAACAGAAACACAAAGAATGAATAAAAGTGAACATAACCTCAGAGACCTGTAGAACATATGCAACAGAGGAACATATACAGAAGGAAAGGACAGAAAAAAATCTTTGAAGAAAGTATGGTCAAGAATTTCCCATATTTGAGGAAAAATATTAATTTACACATGCATAAAGCTTGACGAACAAGTAGGATAAACGTGAATAGGACAAAAGCCACACATATCACAGTTAAACTACTGAAACATACATTTTAGGATTGTTTCTTTTTTATTTGTGAATGATTTTGGTATTTTAATGAGTATTGAGTTCAATCTCTTGATTGCTTTGGGTGGTATGAGCATTTTATGATATTAATTTTTCCAATCCACAATCATGAGGTGACTTCCATTTGTTTGTGCCTTCTTTGATTTCTTTCAGCAAAGTCTTGTACTTTTCATCATACAGGTCTTTCACTTCCCTGGCTAAATTATCTAGATTTTATGTTTTTATTTTTGATGCTACTCTGAACAAGATATTTTTATTTTTTTCAGATGTTTCATTATTACTGTAAAATAATGAAACTGATTTCTGTATATAGATTTTGTATCCTGAAACGTTACTCTGATTAATTTGAACAGTTTTATGATTGACTCTTCAGGATTTTCTATACATAAAATCATATCAGTTGCACATAGTGACCATTTTACTTTTGCCTTTCTGATTTGGATGCCTTTTCTTTCTTTGTCTTGCCTAATGGTTCTAGCCAGGACTTCTAGTACCACAGTAATGGTGAGAGTGGGCATTCATGTCTTGATCCTTATCTTAGAGAAAAAGCTTTCAACTTTTCACTATTGAATATAATATTAGCTGTGGCTTGTCATATATAGTCCATACTATGTTGAGGTGTATTCCTTCTATACTCAATCTATTAAGGCTTTATAACGTGAAGGATGCTGTATGAGTTGCATTTTTGTGTGTCTAGTGACATAATTATGGTATTATCTTTTATTTTATTGATATATTAAATTTATTGAAGTGTGTGTGTTAAAGGAAACTTGCATACTAGAGAGAAATCGAATTTGGTTCAGGTGTTCTTGAATTTAATTTGCTATTTTGTTGAGAATTTTTGCATCAGGGATATAGGCCTATAGTTTTCTCTTCTTGTGGTATTCTTATCTGGTTTGGGTATGAGGGTAACAGTGGCCCCACAGAACGAGTTTAGAAGCATGCCCTTCACTTTGGTATTATGGAAGAGTTTGTGGAGGAATGATGTTTCTTTAAATGTTTGGTAGAATTCACCTGTAAAGCCATCAGTTCCTGGGGGGTTGTGTTGGGCTGATTACTGATAAATCTCCCAATTTACTCATTTGTCTATTTTTCTCTTTCTTCTGGATTCAGTCTTGCTAAGGCTGTGTTTCTAGAAATGCATCCTATCTTCTAGGTTATGTAATTTGCTGGCATACAATTGTTCATAGTAGTGTCTTATGCTCCTATGTATTGCTGTAGTATCACTTGCAATGTCTCCTCTTCCGTTTCTAATTTTATTTGAGTTATCTCTCTTTTGTTCTTAGTCTAGCTAAAATTTTTTCAATTTGGTCAATCTTTTCAAAGAACCAGATTTTAGTTTTGTTGTTTTGTTGTTGTTTGGGTCTTCATTTCATTTCTGCTCTGATCTTTCATCTCTATTATTTCCTTCCTTCTAATAAGTTTGGACTTAACTTGTCCTTCTCCAGTTCCTTATGCTGTAAAATTAGGTAGTTTATTTGATGTCTTCCTAATTCTTTGATTTTTTGATTATTAAATTTCTATCCAGAACAGTTTTTTTCTCTAGCCCATAAGATTTGATATGTTGTCTTTCCATTTCATTTGTTTTGAGATAATGTTTTATTTTCCTTTTGATTTACTTTTGACTTTTTGGTTATTCAGAAGTATTTTGTTCAGTTTCCAAATATTTGTGATTCTTCTCACTTTCTTTTTTT